AAGGAAATAGAAATATCCTGACAATCCAGAGGTGATACTGATCGGGAAGGCTGATGCTTTGGAGGGATAGAATCCACTTGTGGTGGATGGAATGGAGTTGGCATGTTAAGAGCTTGGGGGTGCTCATGGAACCAGCCTTTCTGTTTGGAAAACAAGTTGGTGTGATGGCCAAGAGTGCCCTCTATCTGCTGTGTTTGGCTAGCCACTTGTTCCTTTCTTAGGTACAGCCAATCTGACCCTGCTAATCCATGCCTTTGTTATCCTCATGGTTGGATTACTGTGAATCACTCTATTTGGGTCTGCCCTTGGAGACAACTCTGAATCTCTAACTGGTTCATGATGTGGCAGTCTGATTATTCTCAGGAGTTAGCTGATGGAAACACATTTTGCCTATTTAAAGCAACTATATTGGCTGCTAATTTGTTTCTGAACCTGAGTTCAGTTCAAGATTATGACTTTTAAAGCCCTTCACAGCTGGAAAACACACATATCTGAGGAACTGCCTCCCCCCATATCTCCATGGACACCAATTACAGTCTCCTGGTTTCCACTTTATAGTTAATCTCTTGCTTAACATGGTCCGCTTGGCATCTACCAGAGCTTGGCATCTACCAGAGCTTGTTCTCTATAGTGGCTCCCACCTTGTGAAACGGGCTCCCTGAGGGAGTGAGAGGGCCATAGGCTCATCATGAGTAAACTTCTGCTTTCATCCCCATTCCTCCACCCTTGAGAAACTGAGGAGCAGGAGAAAACAATGGCTGGAAAATTGCCTTTATAGTGACAGTCTAGGAATTTCCCCATGTGTCTATGTTCTTTACCACAGAGATTGAAGGTTTACTGGATTTTGTTTATAAGAAAGCCAGTTTTGGTGTAGTGGTTAAGTGGTTGACTCCTCCACATGAAGCCAGCTGGGTGACCTTGGGTCAGTCACAGTTCTCTCAGAACTCTCTCAGCTCCACCTACCTCACAGGGTGTCTGTTGCGGGGAGAGGAAGTGAAGGAGATTATAAGCCATTCTGAGGCGCCTTCGGGTAGAAAAAGTGAGGTATAAAAACCAACTATACTATATATAATTTTTTTTTGGAATTGTAAGCCACATTGAGGGGTATATTTTGATAAACAGCAAGATTGAGAACGTTTCTTAAAACAGGGCACTTGCAGGGTAGGGACAGTGGGCTGGAGGAAGGATTACCTAACCCCTCTTGAATTTGCTAACTTTCTCCTCAGAACAACTGTTTTGCACTCAGCCTAGTTTACCTCCAATTTTGGAGTCCATCTGGGATAAAATTATGAAGATGAGAATTCGGTAGAGACAATAGATGGGCATGAGAATAGCTGAATACACGCCACTTTCGGTTTCCCCTCTGCAAGGTTTCCATCCATTCCCATTAATGCCACAAGAGGAAACCTCGTCCCTCTCAGGCCGTCTCATTTGCCCATGACTTGCCTAAAACAAAGGAAGCCATTTGAGCACATACCAGTGCTGAGGACACTCATTTGCATCCTGAGAGCAGAATGTAGGCTATAATCCCTAAGTTTTTACTTGATGCTGTGCTCCAAATGTAATTTACTAAATACAGTTCATAGATATTGTGGTTTTTATTTTGCAAATGGGAAATCTGGAATGCACCGCTGGGACATTAGTCCCAGAAAGGCTCTGTCCTGCAAGGCGGAACAGCAGACATGGAAATAACCTTGACTAGCTGCCCCGACTGCTGCTTTTGTTGGGTACAAAGCGTTCCATTGTTCAGCTTGGCTACCTGATAGTTGGTACAAGGCAATTGACAGTGTCTGGAATACGGATGAACAGATCTCCTGGGCTGCATACCTTAATTTCCCCGAAATGTCACTCTGAGCTGCATTCCACTCCTCCTTAGTTCCAGTTTAACCCGGAAAAAAATTCTAAAATTAATTTTAGGATTGAATCATGCACAGTGAGCTGCAGGTATCAGTTTGTTCCATGCACTGTTTATTTATTTACTTTCCCCCCTTTCTTCCCAGTAAGGGCCGGAAGCAGCGTATGCCATTCTCCTCTCCCCCATTGTATCCTCTCGACAACCCTGAGAGGTAGGTCAGGCTGAGAGTGGGTGACTGGTCCAGGGTCACCCAGCAGGCTTCCAGAGAAGAGTGGGGATTCCAGCCTGGGCTTCCCAAATCCTAGTGTGACATGCTAACCACTATGTAGGGATGCCAGCCCCCTGGGGATCCCCTGGAATTACAATTCATCTCCAGAATACAGAGATCAGTTCTCCTGGAGAAAATTGATGTTCTGGAGGGTGGACTCTGTGGCATTGTACCCCACTGAGATCCAGGTTCCATTCCCAATTCTCCAGGAATTTCCCAACCTGGAGCTGGCAACCCTACCCCCCATCGCCTGCTTATGCCAGGGGGGATGTGGCACCCCTACACCACACTGGTATTTTGCTTTCCTGTGCTTCACATAATTGCATTGATAAAAACCATGTGGTGTTTTGCAGATGCACATGTGCTCTTGTGCATTAATAAATCTTTGTGCAAAAATAATGTTTTTTTAAAGTACCCGAGGGTACACTTTTATTGTTTTTTTACATTATATACTACAAACATACATACAAACAACACCCAACTACCCCCAACAACATATAACATATAACAAGAGACTTTTATCCCTTCTTCTGCTTATTAAATTTCTAAATTCATTATCTATTTTACTAAGCTTATCTCTTCTGCGTTCTCAAATTACTACATTTATCTATCAGTTGCGTTTACATTATACCAATCATAGAATCTCTTCCAAGTTTTTTTAAAAGTCCATTCTGTGCCGGCTCCCATCTCAAGTGTCAGTTTGTCATTTTCTGCCGTTTCGAATAGTTTGTTTACGTACTCTTGTTTTGTTGGTATTTCCATTATTTTCCAATATTTGGCATATAGTGCAAAAATAATGTTGATGTGATCAAACATACAATCACATCAATGATGGTGTTTTGTTTTGCAGTGTGTTATCAATACACCCTGACCTGGATAGCCCAGGCTAACCTGATCTCATCAGTGCTCAGAAGCTAAGCAGGTTCTGCCCCAGTTAATAGTTGGATGGGAGACCTCCAGGGAAGTCCAGGGTCACTATACAAAGGCAGACAATGGCAAACCACCTCTTAATGTCTCCTGCCTTGAAACCCCCCTGGGTATTCCATAGGTCAGCTCTGACTTGATGGATAGATAGATGATAGACAGACAGACAGACAGACAGACAGACAGACAGACAGACAGACATTGGAGGCTCAGTTCAAATGTGACTAGGTGGATATGGGCAAGTCAAAACCACACATTGGCTGGAGAAACTGGCTTTCAGACACAACACAAAACCATGGTTAGTTGTGAAACCAGGATTCAGTTCGTAGGTGATCAGTCGAATCCTGCTTTGCCTCAACGAATGCCCATTGGATCCCCATTGTTCCTTCCTCTGCTTCCCCCTGTAGCAACCTGTCTGGTATCTTAGTTTTGAATGCAGCAAGTGTAGCACCAGGGAACAAGCCAGGAGGATTCAGCCAGGATCTCTAAATGTATATGTTATTCCAGACCACAGCTATGGCTAACTGATAAACCAACTTAAAACCATGGTTTCAGATCCCAGTTTGATATACTAGGGCCCCGGTCACACAGAGAATTAGGTACGCGGAGTGGACAGATTAAGGGCGGATCAAACCGGCATGATCAGACACCAACATCTGGCAAGCGTTGCGCACCGCTCCTAACCCGTTGCATCCAGCCGAAAATGCAGATCGAAAAGGTGGTATGGAAAATGGAGTACCTACCGGAAGATCCGCAGCAACGACGGCCATGGGATTGCAGACCATAGCATCCTGCAGCCGTCTGTGACCCATGCACGTGCACTAACGCGGGACCGCCGTGTTGCCTCGCTGGGACTACGCCATTGCCTCCCCAGTGTAATTGGGTGCCGACCGAGGGAGAACAGAGCTGCGGGGGAGCGTAAGATTGCGCTCCCGTGCTTCTTTTAGCTCCGCATCTAATATGCCTCCCTTCCCCGACAGATTTTCCCGCTCGTGTGACAGGGGCCACTGATATACAACCTTGTTACCTGGTTGTTCTGCTCACCCTAGGCTGCACTGGTAGCTGGAGAAGGGAGCTTTGACTCACAGAAGCTAATACCCTGGAAATCTTGTTGGTCTTTAAGGTGCTAGCAGACTTGAATCTTGCTCTTCTGCTTGTGTATGTAAAACTGCTGTCAAGTCGCAGTCTCCTCATGGTGACCCCATAGAGTTTTCATGGCAAGAGATGTTCAGAAGCGGTTTGCCATTGCCTGCTTCTACATAGTAGCCCTGGACTTCCTTGGTGGTCTCCCATCCAAATACTAACCAGGGCTGACCCTGCTTAGCTTCCAAGATCTGACCGGATTGAGCTGGGTTGGGCCATCTTCTGCTTATTCCCTAACAATTATGCATAGGATGATAGCCTTAGTGTGATTCTTGTAAGTGAGATGAATCCTTCCCAGAGCCTTTAAAGCAGCACACTATCAGCAGTGCATACCATGGCAAAAGTCAACTGTGGGGAGTGCATAACACATTTCAGCATGCCTTTCCACTCCCTTCAACAGAGTTCCTTCAGTTTCATTAACTGAACTGTGCCTCCTTTCTTTTTTGTTGCTGTTGCTTGCCATGGGAGGTGACCAGCACCTTTTCTTGATTCATATATAAGCAAGAAGAAATTTTAAAAGGAGGGGAGATATCTTAAGGCTATAAAAAATATACTCACTGCACACCTACAAAAGGGAGGTGAAAGGCTGCCAGGGAAAGCGCAAGGTGCAGGGAGTGGAGCGATAGTGTTACCGTGGCTGTGTGTGTGTGTGTGTTCCCCCCCCTTCTTCTATGCTCTGCGCTCAGCAGGTTGAATGCGGTGGGACGGCTGCCAGACACACCCAGTCCTTGCAGGCAGTAAAATGATCCCTCTGCCCCCAAGCCAAGCCCAGCTCTTTCTAACGGATAAAAGGAGAGGAAGTGCTGGTTTGCAGGTTTAGAGGGACTCTCTCTCTTTAACACCACCAAGCTGCGTTCCATACCTTCCCTCCCTCCCTCCCTTCTACATCTTCAAAAAATAACCCTGCTTGGATAGCCATGGCGCAAGTCAGTTACAGCTCCCGCTCAGCAGCTGGCCCCGGGGGGTATAGCCAGGTCCGAGTCAGCACTGTCTCTTCATCTCGCGGCGTCGGAGGGGGCTCCAGCTTTAGGAAACCTGGTGGCTTTGGCAGCTCCAGCCTCTACAGCTTTGGCTCTGGGGGCAAGAAGATCTCCACCGGTGGTGGAGGAAGCTTCTACGGTGGCCTGTCCTCGAGTGCTCGCTTGGGCGGTGGTTATGGAGGTGGTTATGGAGGTGGTTTTGGAGGAGGCTATGGAGGAGGCTATGGCGGTGGGCTTCAGTCTCCAGGGATTCAAGAGGTCACCATCAACCAGAGCCTCCTGGCCCCTCTTAACTTGGAGATAGACCCAACCATCCAGAAGGTACGCAAGGAGGAGAAGGAGCAGATTAAGACCCTCAACAATAAATTTGCTTCCTTCATTGACAAGGTAAGAGGCACGATCAACTTATCCGATACTTGTCTAACATCATCAAAATAGTCCATAGGAGTCTCTCCTTGGGCCCTCAGCCAGTTGCAGTGACACGGCGAGAGGCTTGATATTTCTCTGCTGGAAACAGCCAGTCACTCAAGGCTTTGCATATGTTTCAGGATGGCATCTGGGCCTTCATTCTCACAAACCCCTCCGTAGGCTCAGAATGTATTGGCCAATGCAATCTAGTCATTACTGGCTGAGGGATCTTCCCTATTCATTGCCTGATTAACTGAGGCCTTGTCAGCATCAGAACGTCTAGTCCAATATGCCAGCTCCTGAACTCAACTTATAAAGAGGTAGCATCTTCCAGATATGTTAACACCTCAGTTTATTCCCTCATGGTGTCAAGAAGGTGGCCACTGTACCACATACTGAAAGGAGAGGAATCCACTTTTCAGTATCTTCATCCTTTCTTAAGCTTCTGAACCCACTTCGGGAGCTAAGACAGTCGCTGTGGTTTCTATAATCATTCCTGATTCCTAGGCATGTTATAAGTTGAAACTGGCCTGCTTTTAAATAACTGTACCTGCAATTGCAGCTGTTTACCTGTAGCCCATTCCACCTGCTTCTATCTCTTGAACAGGCTCCTTGGGTTTCTCATATGCTTTCAAGTATCTTTTTTTTTTTATCCTGCCCTTCCTTCATTTTATCCTCCAAACAAGCCTGTGAGGTTAGACTCAGAGAGCGTGACTGTCCCAAGATCCCTTAGTGAGCTGGATGGCTAATGGAGGATTCTATGAAGATAGTTTCAGAAGGGAGCCAGATTGGTCTGCCGTAGAAGAGCTAGATTAGAGTCCAGTAACACCTTAGAGACCAACAAAATGGGGGGGGGGGTAGGAGCTTTATAGAGGTATACTTTTTCAGGGTATGAGATCCCCAAGTCCTTCTATGCCAGGCTGAAGGCAGGAGGGGTGTGGCAAAGAAAGGAGTTGGGATGGAGAGGTGCAATGCAAAATGTAACCAGCTTGATTAGAGCAGGGGGCAGAAAATTAGGGGCAGACATTTAGCATCCGTAGCGAGATGCTGTGGGGAGGGAAGGCAGCAGGGTATAGCCTGTTCTTGGCAGACCTTGGAAGCTAAGTAGGGTCAGTACTTGGAAGGGAGACCTCCAAGGAAGGCTCTGCAGAGGAAGGCGATGACAAACCACCTCTGCTTAGCCACTTTCCTTGAAAGCCCCTTGCTGGGGTCGCCATTAGTCAGCTGCAACTTGATGGCACTTGACACACACAGTGAGATGCTACAGCCTGCTGCCTCTGATTCAGGTCTTAACCTGCTGCATCTCACAATCAAGACTTCCTCTTTTACAGTACAATTTGCTATTAATTACACAGGAGGAGCTGAAGGGGTTTTTTTTCCTTCACAAACTGACCTGTGTGCAAAAGTTGGTTCAACGTGCAACCTGTGAAATCGCACATGTGTAAAAAAAAAGATTGATAATTCTTGATATTCACATTCCCCCACACACCCAGATTGTTGACTTCATCTCATTTAGTGTCCGTTTAGACAGGATAAAGCCCCTGACCAGCCATGAAATTAAATGGGCCACCTAGGCTGGCTCCCTGTCCTCTCCTGCCTTGGGTTGTTGCAGAAAACACTTTGCAGTAAACACTTTGCAGTGAACCTGAGCTGTTAGGGTAGGGCCCAAATGATCTGCAGTCAAAAGGAGTTTTGTCTGTTTGCAAAATAGGTCTCTGCATCCAGACTTCAGTTGTTCACTCCCTGATCTGTGTTTGCATCTGACTCTCCTGGCAATAAAGTCAATGGAAGCTTGTCTGTGTGATATAAAATGCTGAGTTTGAACCTAGTTCTATCCAGGGAGCTCTGTCTCTTGAGCTCCCTTCCCCTGAAACACTGCAAGCCTGGAGTGAATCTGCCTCCTCTCCCTCCAGCAACGCCCCCCCCCCCAGGTATAATTCCTCAGATGCTTCATGGGCTTACATTTTCCACCGGATCAAGTTCTGAAAGTGGCCAGTCATGCGGGCTCTCAATTTTCTCCTTTGTCCGTGGCATTTAAGGTTGCGTTGGAAGAATGACAGGCACTTGAACATTTGCCTGCGGGCTTTCTCCCCCACCCCCCCCAGGTCCGATTCCTGGAGCAGCAAAACAAAATGCTGGAGACCAAATGGAGCCTCCTGCAGGATCAGAAGACCACCCGAAGCAACATGGCTCCCATTTTCGAATCCTATATCGGTAACCTGCGGCGGCAGCTTGACGGCCTGGTGAATGACAAGGGACGCCTGGAGGGAGAGCTGAAGAACATGCAGGATCTCGTGGAGGATTTCAAGAACAAGTAATGTGCTTCTAACGGTTTTCGCAAAGCTCGGGAGGCTGGCAGGGCATCTTTGCACAATGTATAGGGTGGATTCCTGCTCTGGGAGAACTTCAGCCTGATGCTCGTCGTGTGTGTGAGTAAAGCGCTGGAGGATCACAACCGACTTAAGGTGACTCCAGAAAAGGGCTTTCAAGGCAAGTGAGAAGCAGAGATGGTTGGCCATCGCCTTCCTCTGCAGAGCCTTCCTTGGTGGGCTCCCATCCAAGTACTGACCCTACTTATCTTCCAGGATCTGACGAGAACAGGCTGTACCCTGCTGCCTTCCCTCCCCACAGCATCTCACTTCAGACCTTAAATTTCTGCCCCTAATTTTCTGCCCCCTGCTCTAATCAAGCTGGTTATTGGGCTACGCCCATGCTGCTTTCCCTCCTTCCTTCCCAGCCTGATGCTTACTGGGGAGACGTCCCACAGCCAGTAATAATTAGCATTTGTAGAGCACTTCCAGTGTCCAAATGACTGAATTCAGTAGTGCCCTGACCTGGATGGCCCAGGCTGGCCCGATCTCATCAGACCTCAACAGCTGAGCAGGGTCGGCCCTGGTTGGTACTCGGATGGGAGACCACCCAAAAACCCTCAGGGTCGCTATGCAGAGGCAGGCAGGTGCAAACTGCCTCTGAACATCTCTCGCTTTGAAAACCCTATGGGCTTGCCATAAACTGGGTACAACTTGACAGCACTCTACACACACACACACAATGTTTACAGAGACAGGCCAGCAGCAAGTCTTGTAATGAAGGCAACTGAAAAAGTGTGAACTGGCAGGAGTTGCTGACAGCCGTATCCCATGATTGTCTGCTTTGCACTTTACTTTCGGTCTACAAGGAAGGCTGGGCAAGGACTGTGAAAAAGCTTTTTGAAAACTAGCTCCAGGTCTAGCTGAATTTTAGCAAGGCATTTGCTACGCGTGGGGAATTGTTGTATGAACAGGGAAAGGGGTGTGTGTTAAGTTCATGAATTGACCAATGAGTAATGATTTGCTCAAAGGAAAGAATACAGGGGTAGGGGGGTTGTTAAAGATTTTTGATGCAAGGAATAAGCACTAGAGATCTTCCGGGATTGGTCAGAGTGGGGTGAGGTGGGGGGCTGTTAAGTTCATGAATTGACCAATGAGTAATGATTTGCTCAAAGGAAAGAATACAGGGGTGGGGGGTTGTTAAAGATTTTTGATGCAAGGAATAAGCACTAGAGATCTTCCGGGATTGGTCAGAGTGGGGTGAGGCTTGGTGGGAGAGAGAGAGAGAACTCTTTTGTTCTGTATTTTTGCAGCTGATCTCAGGGGTGGTCATCAGAAGGTGCAAAGAAAACACTGATTGTGGTCTGTTCATAAATATGAGTGGATGTGATTACACTCTAGAACTGTAGCGAGGGGGGTGAAGCATAACAGAGAAAAGGGTTTTATTTTGGCTCAAGAAAGTGCAACTGCAAAGAGCAAAACATTATATAGTGTCAAATTTGGGTTAGAAGTAGAAAGAGGGTTCAAAACATTTAGAAATAGCAATTTGATGGCCGTGCAGCAACTGTGCATAATTTTTGGCTGTATACGTTCTGAGAGCTGAAGTCCTCCAGTCTAGACTTTATCTGATTCAGACATGCTGAACAGGTGCACGGCATAGTCCTTTCTGCACAATGTGACTTCAGATTGCTAGTGGCATTGGAGGGATGGCATATTATTCTGTTTCTGTACATGTAGAATGGTATTGCCGAGGAGCTTAGATAAACCCCTTCTTGCTAGCCTGTGACCGGAGAAGAGAGAGTTTCAGCAGGCTGCAGACAGGGTTTTAAAAACAGCCTTACCTGCCAAGTATTCCCTAAAATATATGACAAGTAGAGGTGTAACAGTTTTAAGGCTGGAAAGCTGATCATCTCTGCTCTAGCACACTTCTATAAATACTTAGAAGACTATTGAGTGATTTCTGACGACTCAGTTGCAGTCAATGGAGTGGGAGGGAGAAGATATTGTTTGTGTTACGCTTCCTTGCAAAAGCTGTTGATTCAGTTGCATGAGCCTTCCAGAACTGTGATCATTGCAAGCACCTGTCAGCTGTGTAGATGCCATCCATTTGTGATGTTGTGACCCAGATACATCTGGGTTGCCAGTCTCTAGATGGGTACTGGAGGACTTCCAAACTTAACAGGGATCAGCTTCCCTGGAGAAAATGGCAACTTCAGTGGACATCCTATGGGGTAAACAGGGTAGCCAGTCCCCCCCCCCCCGGCCACCAGCAGGGGGGTAGGGTTGCCAGATCCAGGTTAAGAAACTCCTGGAGATTTGGGGATGGAGCCTGGGGAGGACAGGGAACTTGGTGGGGCACAATACCATAGAGTCCACCCTCCAAACTGTCCATTTTCTTCAGGGAAACTCATCTCTGAGGTCTGGAGAATTCCAGGGAATCCCCAGCTCCCACCTGGATGCTGGCATCCCTAGGCTTTGAGAAATGGAAGTCCCTCTCCAGGCACCTCCCTCAAATCTCCAGGAACAGTGTTGCTTCTAAGCTGTGTGTGTGAGCAGCCGCTCATTAACACAGGAGGCCCTGCTCAGCAGCAATCTGGAGCCACACAGGGTTTCACACTGCCCATTGCCCATATTAAAATTACAGCAGTTATATTCTGCTCAGGATGTAAACTGCTCCACTCAGTGTGGGGGGGAATTAGAGGGAACATTGGTCATGAGCTGGCAACCCTAGATCCATCCGATGTGTGTAGTGGACCGATGGGCCTCGCCATTAGATACAGGTCCAGTAAATGGATGTTTGGTTCCCTTCGAGACCAAATTATTGATTACAGTTGTATACCACCCTTCCTGTAGGGCAGCATGCACAGTCCTTCTCTTCCCTTAACCCTCGCTATAACCTGGTGACGTGCGTTATACTGTGAGGCGGTCACTGGCCTAAAGTTACTCAGTAAGCTTCGCGGGCATGTGAATTCAGGTGTCCTTCGGACAGGAGCCCCCAATCTTGTTTATCCTGGGGAGGCTTCCAGAAAACTGAGGTAACTGAGTGAGTGCCACCACACAATGGCTGCCGCAGGGGCTTGGCCTGTCACAAAATACTGGTAGGTTCTAAGCCAAACTCCCTCCTGTAATAGAGGCAGCTGTTCCCAAGTGGGTGCTCCCTGAAGACTGAAAGGTCTCTAGCATTGTTCTGAAACATCTCCTGCTTCAATGAACTGGAAGAAAGCCATGACTTGTGCTTTGGTTGGGAGAGCTTTGGGCATCTCAGTGGGCACCGTGCCCCCCCGGGCACCAGCCTGGGACTCACCGCCCCAGGGCAAGTCTGGAACTTAGTCTAGTACACTCCACTGGTGCTACAGCCCTGGTGCGGAGATCTTGCTAATTCACATTGACTATGCACCACCAGCAACAACTTACAGTTTCCTGCTGTTATGCATTTTTTTCCTGTACACCTTCCACAATGTTCTGCAAACCTTTAAGACAGGGTTGCCAGCTCTGGGTCGGGAAATTCCTGGAGATCTGTGGATGGAACCTGGGAAGGGAACTCAGTGGGGTATAATACTATACAGTCCACCCAATGATGCTGCGATTTTCTCCCGGGGAACTGATCTCTGCAGTCTGGAGCTCAGCTGCAATTCTGGGAGACCTGCAGGCCCCACCTGGAGGCTTTAAGAAACGATGTGCACACATTTCCCTGCCATTGAGAAGCACTCATTGTGCAATCAAGTCAAAGAACAAAGTGTTAATATGTAAAAGGTTACTCTTTTCCCTCATTTCTTGGCAAAGGATTGCAGGGGCCAGGGAGAGAGAGGTAAAGCAACGTATCTATCCATAGTCACGAAAGAGCACACCTTCTCCTATTAAAAAGGGCTCCATGGAAACCAGGGGAGCAAAGGTCGGCAGTTGATCCTGTACAAAAGGCCCCTCTGTTTTCTTTCAGAAACTCCAATGGGGGATCAGCTCTTCACCTGTTCCCCTCACTCTGCCACACCCTCAGTGTTGAAAAAATATATGAGTTGGCAAGCCAGCACAGACAGGAACCAAAAGCAAACAAAGCTGATAAGCCCCCGGGGCGTGTCCCCTGAGAGGAGAAAAGTCAATTGCCTGTAATGTTTCTGCAACTGTAGCCAAGGGTATCTAGCTGGGGTGGGGGAGGAGGAAGAGGGGAGAGGCCGTGGGCCTGGCTGCCACATTAATAATTTTAATTGCCCTTTTAAAAGTCTCCCATACTTCACAATCAAAGGGCATATTCCTGTTTGACATCAGGGACAAATCTCTCCTGCAGATTTAAACTAGTGTGTGTGTGTATGTGTATGTGTATGTGTATATATATATATTCCCTGCCTGTTTAATAAAATCTTTATTCTGTTCTTGAAAGTTAATCTGCCCTGTCTTCAGCCTTGATTGTAAGTAAAGAAATCTTCTGAATGCATGTGGAGGAGCTTAATAAAAATGATTTAATTCACTCTGGTCGTGCGTTGAATCACATCCAGAAGGCGCTGTTGACTCTTGACTTAGCGTCAGACGGAACATGCCTCAAGTGCCATTTCATAAGGGCTTATAAAATAGAGCAGCTCCTATATTTCCCGCAAGTTCCTATATTAAAGCCTAAAGAAATATCTGTGACAGGGTGAACAGTTTAAGCTTATCAGACAAAGAAGAAATACACGCTACTTGAGGTCCCTGCTGCGGCGCGCAGCCAGCAGCACCATCCCCACAGTCATCATGTTGGGGACACTCCGCCCCCTCCAAGAATGCCCCTCAAAGTCCCCCGCTGGGGGTGAAGATAGGACTTGGCAAGCCTAGTTTTATTCTTCCAGTTCTCTCACAACTCAAGGCAATATACATTGGTCTCCCCTTGTGCACTTCACCCTCACATCAATCCTGTGGGGTAGGTTAGGCTGAGAGAGTGTAATTGGCTCATCCAGCTTTGTGGCAGAGTAGGGATTTGAATCTGGCTCTTCCAGAGCCTAGTCCAGCTCTTTAACCATCACACCCAAGGTGCCCA